GCTGCAGGTGCTGGGACTGAGGGTGCTGGAGCTGAGGGTACGGTGCCTGAGAGTACGGAGCCTGGGGGTGCTGCGACTGGGGGTGCTGAGCCTGCGGGTACTGAGCCTGCGGGTACTGAGCCTGGGGGTGCTGCTACTGAGCCTACGGAGCCTCGGGTTACTGCGTCTGGGGGTGCTCCGGTTCGGGGTGCTGAGCAGTCTCTCACACCGCAGCAGCTTCGTGACTGGTACGTCCGACGCTTTCGCCGTCCTAGTGGCTCGGCTGGAGTTGGGGGTGCTGGAGCTGCTCGTCCTGGGGGTGCTCGTACTGGGGGTACTGGAGCTGCCGGGACTGGCTGTTCTGGGAGCACTGCGACTGGAGCTGCTGGAGCTGGGGACTCTGGCGCTGGCGGTGCTAGCGGAGTTGGAGCTGCCGACTCTGGGGGTGGCGCTGCTGCTGGTGCTGCGGACCCACCTGGTGGAGCTGCTGCTGGTGCTGAGGAGTCGGACGGTGGAGCTGCTGCTGGAGCTGGGGACCCGGCCGGTGGAGCTGCTGCTGGTGCTGTGGACCCGGACGCTGGAGCTCCTACTGGTGCTGAGGACCCGGCCGCTGGAGTCCCTTCTGCTTCTGGAGACGCTGCGCGGCCGCGACCGTACTTCGTACCGCTCCTTCAGCAGGTTCTTGGGCAGGCTCCTCCTCCTTGTCCTCCTCCCTCCGTAGAGTGTCCTCCGCCTGTCCAGCCGCAGTCACAGTTACCGCCTGCCTCGCCTCTCCCTGCTCCCTCTCCTTATACTGGTCCCACAGGAGGTCTTACAGAGCGTCGTGAGCCTGAGTCTCGTCCTGCGTCGCCTGTTCGTCCTGCTCGCACTGGTAGTCGTGTCCGTCGTGAGCGTCCTCCTCCTGTCCCAGGCACTCACTACATGACTCTGCGTCCCTCTACTGCTCCTCAGCGTGTCCCTCTACCGTCTCCTCCTGCGTCCTCTTTGCCTAACGTTCCGGACCCTGAGTCTGACCGGTATCGTGCTGAGCACCCTACTGTCACCCGTCTCCTAGCTACTGTTGTCACTGACCCTACCTTTGAGTCCTCGGCTGCGTCTGCTCTAGTCGCTGAGTTGGTTGACTTTGCTGCTGCCTGTCGTCTAGACTACGCTGCTAGTCTTGTTGCTGAGTCTGCGTCTGCGTCTGTCTGTCCTCCGTCCGTCGGGGGTGAGTGTGCTCTTGGCACGGACGTCCTTGAGGACAGGCAGGAGGACTTTGACTCTCTCGCGGCTGCTGTACCTCATCTCGTGGCCTGGTTGCTTGCCCCTGAGGGAGACCCGGATGCACTAGACATCCCCACTCCGCGCACTTACGCAGAGGCGATCTCGGGTCCCTACTCCTCTCAGTGGCAGACAGCCATGGACGCAGAGATGGCATCCTGGAAGTCCACAGGCACCTACGTCGACGAGGTTCCCCCTCCTGGGGCGAACATCGTCGATGGCATGTGGATTTTCAGGGTGAAGCGGCCGCCAGGTTCTCCGCCTGTCTTCAAGGCTCGTTACGTTGCTAGAGGCTTCAGTCAGCGTCAGGGGGTCGACTTCTTCCAGACCTTCTCCCCCACCCCGAAGATGACCACTCTTCGGGTTCTGCTGCACGTTGCTGCTCAGCGTGACTACGAGCTTCACTCTCTTGACTTCAGCACAGCGTTCCTGCAGGGCAGCCTGCACGAGGAGATCTGGCTGCGCCGCCCACCTGGCTTTACTGGGTCGTTTCCTCCTGGTACCCAGTGGAGCCTCCGCCGGCCAGTCTACGGTCTCCGCCAGGCGCCACGAGAGTGGCACGACACACTGAGGACTACACTTGCGGCTCTTGGGTTCGCGCCGTCTACTGCTGACCCGTCGCTGTTTCTGCGCACAGACACGTCGCTGCCGCCGTTCTACATTCTTGTGTACGTCGACGACTTGGTCTTTGCTACTGCTGACACTGAGGCACTCGCTCGTGTGAAGTCGGAGCTGCAGAAGAGACACACCTGCACTGACCTGGGTGAACTGCGTAGCTACCTTGGCTTGCAGATCACCCGGGACAGAGCTCGCCGCACCATCACCCTGACTCAGTCACACATGGTGCAGCAGGTCCTTCAGCGCTTCGGCTTCCAGTTCTCCTCACCACAGGCCACACCTCTGGCTACCAGCCACTCGCTCTCAGCTCCACCTTCGGACGAGTCCGTAGAGCCGAGTGGCCCGTACCCAGAGCTTGTAGGCTGCCTCATGTACCTGATGACTTGCACGCGACCTGACCTCGCGTACCCTCTTAGCATCCTTGCTCGTTACGTTGCGCCTGGGAGACACAGGCGAGAGCACTGGGAGGCGGCTAAGAGGGTGCTGCGTTACTTGTGCAGTACATCAGGCATGGGGCTGGTGCTTGGAGGACGCGACAGAGTTGTCCTCACTGGTCACTCGGACGCTTCTTGGGTGGACGACCTGGCTACGCAGCGGTCGTCACAGGGTTACACCTTCAGCCTTGGCTCTGGTTCTGTCTCGTGGCGGTCCACCCGCTCTTCCTCTGTTCTCGGCTCTAGTTGTGAGGCTGAGATCTACGCCACAGCCATGGCTGCACAGGAGTTACGCTGGCTCACCTACCTGCTGACTGACTTGGGAGAGCGGCCTAGTTCTCCTCCAGTTCTGTACGGTGACAACAAGGCGGCTCTTGCCTTGTGTCAGGAGCACAGACTGGAGCACAGGACGAAGCACATTGCTCTTCGCTACTTTCTTGCTCGAGAGCTTCAGCAGCGCGGTCAGCTTCGGCTTGTGTACGTGGACTCGAAGGCCAACACTGCTGATATCTTCACCAAGGCGCTCCCGCCTAGTGATCATCAGCGGCACTGTACTTCTTTAGGCCTTGTGTCCACGTTTCCTCACTTGCTCACTGCTTGACATTCTTTGTACTGTACTTTATATATATCTTGTTGCTTGCTTGCTAGGTTTGATCACTGTGTTGCTTGTCTTGTACTATATCTAGCACTGCATGTGAACTGGCCTTGTGGCCTTTAGTTGTGCTCGGAATGTGGTGACGTTGTGATCCACCCTGGGCTTTGCTTTGCTTTGCTTTGCTGGACTGGTCTTGTGACCCTTTGTTCTCCCCCACTTTGCCTATGGGGGTGTGTTAAACTGTAGTATGCTTGTAGGCTGTAGTGGGGTAGCCAATATGGGGTACAACCCCAACTAGGGTTTCATATTTGTACCCAAACTTCTGCTAGTTCAATCATTCTTGCCTAGTGGTTCTGACAATTTGTTCATCGTGCAGTTGTAGAGTCTCGTGCGTCAGAATCGTAGTCAGATAGTTGAAATGTTTCTTTGGTGAAGTACCGTATTACCCCGGATTAAAGCGCAGGTGCGCTTATAATAAATCAGTGGTTTTGGGGGGGGTACGCTTCTAATTGAGTCGTTTGTATAAGCGCATGCGCTTATAAAATGACAAGTATAGATTTATAATATTTGATCACCAAACTGTAGATCTGGTGCTGGCTTTTCAATCGAGTCGAAGTTACAGGGGGTCGTGAGTGAAATTCTCGTGCGGCTGGCAGATACAGTCGATGTGACTGACAAGGCGCCCCTGACAACTCATGCTGACTGGACTCGAATTTAGCCCGCATCAATGTACATTGCAATATTTTTCAGATTTTCCAGGAGTCTTCCTTGATAACCAACTGACGGGTTATCAAGGCTCGCGATAAGCGCTTGGCTGCCGAGGCAAACCAAGCCCGAATGCCTGCAGAACGGTCATTTTGGCAACCACAAATTTCCATTTGGCCGCTTTCCGAGAAATTTGTCGTCCTAGCAATCTGACGCATCCTTGATGCGCGCATGATGCAACGCAGGGAACGCGCATGATGCGCGCATCAGCTCGAATGGGGCAACTAAATAGCGCCATTAAAAAAAAAAAAAAAAAAAAAAAAAAAAACGGCAGCGACATTGATTGCCCTCTGCTGCCCGACGCCATAAAAAAAAACAAACCAAAAAAAGGGTTTCTGAATCGATGCAGAGGGGTTTCGATCTCTAGGGGTGTTCGAGTTTCCCCGTCAGATTTTTAGGCAGCTACCCGGCTCGTGTGTGGGCAGCATCGGGCAGGATGTACAGGCATCAGGCGAAGGCGTCAGGCACGTGCTGTCTGACTGTCCCGATCCCTCTGCAATGCCGAATTTGAGGAAAGTTGAAATCGACATCTGAAATGTCGAAAATTTCAAATCTCCGATTTCCGATTCTCCGAACCTCAATTTCCATTTTCCAAACCTCATTTTTTTCTATTTCAAATTCCTGATTTCCGAACCTCAATTTGTCAATGTGCGGATCAGGCCGAGCCTAGGGCGCATCAGAGCTGATGCGCCCACAGAACGCAGCCTTTGTGCAGGGTTCGAATGTGAGGAGAACCGAATTTCCAACACGTCCACCTACTAAAGGGAAAACCGTTACAGTATTTCCACACATTATTGTTGTTAAATTTAACATGCGCTTATAATAAATCAAGTGTTTTTAGGGGGTGCGCTTATAATTGAGGATCGGCCATAAGCGCATTGCTCCAGATAGAAGCGCATGCGCTTTTAATAGGCCTGCGCTTTTATCCGGGGCGATACGGTTAGAAACTCAGCATCCTTCAATTTGAATATAACTCTGAACTTTCAGCCTAAAAAAACTACGGTAGTGTTGTCTGAATTTCCAGACTAAAAATTGGATGCAACTCTGACTGACAGAGTTGCGACAAGGGAGCACACTGAGCTGACCCATCAGAGTGCCTCAAAACCAATCTAGGGGCCTGACCCAGAGCCATCAGTGTGGCCTTAACCATTACAATGTGTTATCGGGGAAATTCTACTCCCCATAAAAATTACCGTGGCATAAGTGTGACCCCCGAAATTCACCCTTCTAATCAGTCTCAGGGTAAATTACACTGATAAAATAGGCCCCTGCAGGCCAGCATGACACCAGGCCAGCATGACACCAACAAGTCATTATTCCACCTTCCCAGCCTTGCAAGAACGACCCAGCTACTCCACATGCAGGCGCAGCTCCTTCTCCACATGTGCCTTCACCTGTGCATGCACACCTGCATGCTCTGGCTGCTGCAGACACTGGCAGGCCGGGTGAGGAAGGTGGGTGAGAGGTGCGGAGGAAAGTTGGGGAGGTGGATTGGGAGAGGGCTTTCGTGATAGGCAAGCTTGAGCATCGTATACAGAGTGTCACCAAGTCGCAAATCGCAACAGCATGCCATGCCATGCCATGCCATGCCATGCCATGCCATGCCATGCCATGCCATGTCATGTCATTCCATGTCATGCCCACCCCATTCACTGCCTTGGCAGGTGAAACGAGTTGCCAGAAAAAACAACAGCAAGTACTAACACGAGCTGAACATGCTGCACCGAACCTCACCCCACATGAGGCAATCTTCCCCCATCCGCCCATGCACCACACACAAGCCCATCCGCACCACACACAAGCCCATCCGCACCACACACAAGCCCATCCGCACACACACAAGCCCATTCGCACCACACACAAGCCCATCCGCACCACACACCAGCCCATCCGCACCACACACCAGCCCATCCGCACCACGCACAAGCCCATCCGCACCACACACAAGCCCATCCGCACCACACACAAGCCCATCCGCACACACACAAGCCCATCCGCACCACACACAAGCCCATCCGCACCACACACCAGCCCATCCGCACCACACACAAGCCCATCCGCACCACACACAAGCCCATCCGCACCACACACCAGCCCATCCGCACCACATACAAGCCCATCCGCACCACGCACAAGCCCATCCGCACCACACACAAGCCCATCCGCACCACACACCAGCCCATCCGCACACAAATCTTTGACTAACCTCGTAAAGTTTCTGAAGCAACTTCCGCGGAATCACCACTTCCTCTCCCCTCCCTCTCTCCTCCCCCCTCACCTCCCCCCCTTCCGCACCCCCTCTCTGCGTCGACCCCCCTCCCCCTCGTCCCCCATCAACACCCCCCCGCACCCCTCTTCCCCTTCCACCACCACCTCCCCCCTCTTCACGCCCCACACCCCTCACAAACGAGTAAACCGCAGCAGCTTCTGCTGCCCGCTTGTGCCGCACACACGCCGCCAGCACTGCCAGCATCTCCTCCGCAAAAACGGGCGGCGGCGGGCGGGCGGCGAGCACCATGTGCGTCAGAGTGAGCATGTCGGCGACGCGCTGGCGGCTTGCCAGGTGGTGCGCGAGCAGCATGGCCTCGCGGGGCGAGGTGGAGGGCGAGTAGATGCCCATGCTGTGGCCCCACTTGAGCACGCGCAATGCACACTCGTGCCCGTCATACTCCTCCTGCCCCTGCCCCTGCCCCTGCCCCTGCCCCTGCTCTCCCCCCCGCTCCTGCCCCTGCTGCTGCAGGGCCTGCTCTGCTTCTCCCTCACTCCCCCCACCCCCACCCCTCTGCTCCCCTTCCTCCCCTTCAACGTCTAGATGCCCACCCCCATCCGCGTCCCTGTCCCCACCCCCATCCGCGCGCCCACTCCCCGCGCGTGCCACGTGGCCATCCATGTGCATGAGGTGGCGCGCCACCATCGCCACGTCCTCACTCTCCATCCACGACCGCTGGGCGTTCAGCAGCCGCATGCCATGTGACGCGCGCATCTCCGCGTACGTCCCCGCCACCCACCGCACCTTCTTCTCGCGCCACTGCTTCCCCCCTCCGCCCTCGCGTGCGGCGCTCCCCCCGCCCTGCCGCTGCAGCCATTTCTCAAAGGAGGGCGACTCTTCCTCTTCTAAAATCCGCTTGTGCCGGACGGCTCGCCTTGCAGCCTCCGCCTTTAGGTGGTGCTGCTGCTGTTCCCGCCCTCCGCTACGGCTCCTCCCGCCCCGATCGCTCCGCTCGCCCCAATCGCTCCGCCCGCCACTGCTGGTCCGCTCGCCCCAATCTCTCCGCTCGCCACTCCCCCTGCCGTCGCGCGGGCTGTGCGGCCGCGCGCGCTGATCAACCCTGTGGGATGTGCCGGCCGAGGCGCTGTGCGCGGTGTCTCGCGCCGGCGGCGGCTCTCCGCTGTAGCGGATCCATTCCTCCGCGCGCCGGGTCTCCTCGCGCCAGTCCTCCGCCGCGCGCCGGTGCTCCGCACGCCGGTTCTTCGCGGCATCGGCCTTTGTTTCCAAATCGCCCCTGCTCCGCCCGCGCTCACTGTCTCGGCTGGGAGAGTTCGAATCCGAAGTGGGTTGCGCGGAAGCACTGCATTGGCGGAGCGAAAGCAGAAGCTTAGGGCCAGCCGGAAGCGCGCAGAGCGAATGCGGAGGAGGCGGAAGCAGCGCGTGATCCGGGGCGGCTGATGTACGAGGGGAGAGGTTGCGCGTGTGCGGCGGGAACGGCGGAAGTAACGAGGGCTGTGTGCGGGCGGACGAGTGCAGACGTGAAAGGTCGCGCGCAATCAGACGGTGGTCGTGCGGAAACGCGGGAGATGGCGAGGGCGGAGAGCGGATGGCGGATCGCGCGGCTAATGACGGCAGCGCGTGGGGCGGCGACGCGAGGAGACGGTGACAGGCAGTGGTGAGACGGCGGAGAGCGGACCGCCGACTCGACATGGGACGAGCCGCGAGACACCACGTGCTCCCGATTAAGGAAACCCTAAACGTCCACCGACCCAGGCCGGCGCCTTACGAGGCGAAAGCTAGGCGCATGAGAGGACATGGCGCGTCGTAACAGACGTATGCGTAAACAGTTGGGCAAGGAGAATTTGAGGTGAAGGCCCACCTGCAACTTGTCTGTTGAAGAAATGTGCGGGATTTATCGCGGCGGCGTCCTCTTCCAAACGTTTTAGTACGTTTCAAAACGGTGAAGTTTCGGACTCCACGGTGTGTATGTGCTTGATTTGGGAGGGAAACCCGATCGCAATTGCGCGTCGGCCTATTTCGAGGATTTGATCAGGCGAAATGACGCACATTGGCGGAAATCGCGTTTCTCTTAATTGCGTCAATCCAAATTACAAGGACCTCGCAACGTGCGCGTTTCTCTAAATTGGATGGACCGCTTTTCCGCGCGCCCCTCCAAACCGATTTACCCGCCCTTCCCCTCCAAATTCGGGCAGCTGTGCTGAAGTTCAGAACAGTCGCGATTTCAACCTCCACATTTTCGCCACGTGACGAACTTCTGATTGCTCGAAACATCTGTAACTATAGTTTTTTTATTATCTCTATACCTTCTATTTTCTCTATCGGTCACCCTATGCAAATTAACTTTAACTATTGTTTATATTAGACAGAAATTGTTTTTATTATGATTTATATTTTTATAAATATTACCCTCCGATTACAAAGATTTTAATCAATTGCATTCAATCAATAAAACCCATGTTTTAATGCTGAGATCTCATTAACAATCATTTTTATTTAGTTGTTATGCTCAAGCTACTACTAGTTTCAGAATAATTCAGATTCTAACTAAAGAGTATGGTAATATGAAAGGGGAAAATAAGTAAGAGTACTATGTTGAAATCAAGACTGTTTGTGATTTCACGCGAGTACACAAGGCTGCCCGAATTTCGGATGGGAAGGGCGGGAAAATCGGGCTGGGGGGCCGGGCACTAACGCGGTTCATCAAATTAACGGAAACGTTTACGTGGCGAGGTCGGAGTAATGTAGGTCGATGCAACTGAGAGAAACAAGATTTCCGCCGATACGCCATTTTTTTATGTTTGACTTGTTTCCCGCCAAAACACATTCACAGCCTCACTCCCTCCCACTTCGTCTCTTGCAATTTTGAACGCATAGCACAACACAGCACAGCACCGACCCAACAGTGTCCTACAATCAAACTCGACAGAGTCAATCCCGCGCTAGTTTTAGCAGCCGTGTTCTTGAGCGCATGAGGTAGTCATGGTAATAGAGGCAGCAACCTCCGGTTCCCCGCTATGGCCGCCGCATTTCCCGCACGCATCCACACTCGAGCGCTGCTCGTCGTCGTGCTCGTCGCGTTCTGCGCGTCATTCCTCCTCCTCCCCCTCTTCTACTCACAGCCGTCTTCCGACCGCGGTTCGACACCCCGTTTCGCCACGTCATCATCTGATCAAGCAACTGTTGTTGAATCGAATCCCAGCCAACCGCTAATCAGCTCGCAGCAGCTGATTGGCTCGTTAGTCCCGCAAATAGTGCCCGTCGACGTGGCAGTGCCATCTGAACGTCTCGAGGCGCGAGTGAAAGAGCTTTTGGCCGCTTGGGATCCAACACGTGTCATTTCGCCTCCAACTGAAACGGGCGGAAAAGGGCGGAAAGCTAAAAAACGAGGGAAAAAGCGGGGTAAGGGCGCAAAGGGGACCGTTTCAGCCAACGCCGCGGAGGAAAAACCAGCTTCCCCGTTAGGCGCATCCGCGGAGGAACCGCCGGGGGACCTGGCGCAAGGGGGAACGGAACCGTTTTCCGCCGCCCCGCCAGTCCCCCGCGCGCCGCATCTGGTGGATTGCGCGGAGCGCGCGAGGCAGCACCGCGAGGAGTGGTGGGCGGCGCGACCGGCGGACGGCTCCCTTCCGCCGTGGGCGGTGGTGTGGCGGGCGCGCGAGCACGCGTCGCGAGACCCGCGCGCGTACGAGATGCTTCCGCCCAGGGGGAAAGGGAGGGGCGGGGAAGAGGAGGAGAACGGGGAAAGGGATGAGGGAGAGAGGGGGGAAGAGGATGCATCGGAAAAATATGGAACTGCCTAATCCAGTCGGGGGTGAAGTGCGTCCTCGGTCTCATGGTCATGAATGGCGATGAATGGATTAGGTTTGGCAGACGGGCGTAAGGGAATGTTGGTGGTTGGAAAATTGCCGTGGATGGTGACTTGGGGTTCTACACGGTTGGGTCTGTGTTGGTGCTTTTGTCGCTACTGTTCCCCCAACCATTTCCGACGGGATGTTGTCATCTAGGGCTGGGATTGGGGCACGCGCGGCCTGTGGTGATTTTGTTTTCCTTATGACGCATCTGATTTCGTTTGTAGTGTGTTTAGGTGTAGTTCATAACGAAACTGGGAAGCGATCTCGTTAAATTGTTTGTGTGTGTTTTTCAAGCTCATAAGTTTTACTGTTTTAGTTTCACAATTTTATCAACGGCAGAAAATCTAAATATTGTACATAGAGCTCCTCTAAAATCTATCTAAGAACAAAATTTAGTTCAAGTTTTGGCAAATTTGTCGGATTTAAATTTGCTTTTATATGTAGGCCACTTGATAAGAATTTGTTATATATGGAAGATTACATTTGTATCCAGGGTACAGATTTATCTGTTGGCTGTTGGACACATGTCCGTTTTCTTTCATTCGCGCCGAAGATTGCGGGAAGCCACACGGGTGGTGGGAAGCAATTCGCGGTCTGTAAAACTTCAGGGAAATTTGCAACGCGTTTCGCAAATCAGCGAATCCTTTTTGCCGCGTGGTGACGAAAATTTTCAGGCATGCGAATCGACTCGCCAGTAGCTTGTTCTTTCTCGCAATTTTCGGTTGCGACGCGTTCCGACCGTTTGTGGTTCTCTCTCGGTAGTCCCTCATCCTCCACTCATTCGTTAGTTACTCCTCGTTCCACCATCTCTTGCTGGCCAGTTTTGAGTATCTGCTAAGGAAAGTTGGCGATCCGTTCCTAGTCACCCACGATTTTGCATGAGCACGGTTGTTCTATTCGTAGCTCTAGGGCCGGTCTCGCGTGGAGGTTCGTTCGAACCGCGTTTCTGGCCGTCACGTTGGTGGCGCGCTTTAACGAAGCGCTCACACCTGAGTGAGCTTTAAGAAGGTGAGCATAAAGGTTCTACCACGTCCTCTCTAATTTGCTCTCTCTGTAGTTCCCGATCTCTCACTCGGTCTCTGTCGCGCTCTCCGTGTAGGCTCGTGCTCTCTCCCGGTGGGGGGGGGAGCGTACCGTTTCTAACGTGATCTCTCCCTTCCGCCTTCGCTCTATCCGTCTCGTCGAGCTCTCACTTGGTCATTTTGGATCCCGCGCTCGCTTAGGTTGCTCTCGCTCGGTCGCATTTTCTCTCCCCGCCTCTATCGTTCTCTCACCCGGTCACAATCACGCGCTCCGACCCTCCCGTGATCTCACCATGTCGCATTCGCAAGCTCCGTATGTCCCGTGCTCTCTCTCTCGGACGCATTTCGCGCGCTCCGTTCCTCCCGTCATCTCTCTCTCATACGCATTCGCGCGCTCCATCTCTCTCGTGCTCTCCCACAGTAGCTCTTCCGTATCTCCCATTCTCTCTCTCTCTCGGTCGCATTCGCGCGCTCCGTATCTCCCGTCCTCTCTCTCTCTCGGACGCATTTCGCGCGCTCCGTTCCTCCCGTCATCTCTCGTGCTCTCCCACAGTAGTACTTCCGTATCTCCCATTCTCTCTCTCTCGGTCGCATTCGCGCGCTCCGTATCTCCCGTCCTCTCTCTCTCTCGCACGCATTTCGCGCGCTCCGTTCCTTCCGTTATCTCTCGTGCTCTCCCACAGTAGGTCTTCCGTATCTCCCATGCTCTCTCTCTCTCTCTCGGTCGCATTCGCGCTCTGTATCTCCCGTCCTCTCTCTCCTTCACGCATTTCGCGCGCTCCGTTCCTCCCGTTACCTCTCGTGCTCTCCCACAGTAGCACTTCCGTATCTCCCATTCTCTCTCTCTCAGTCGCATTCGCGCGCTCCGTATCTCCCGTCCTCTCTCCCTCGGACGCATTTCGCGCGCTCCGTTCGTCCCGTTATCTCTCTCTCGTTCGCGATCGCGCGCTCCGTATCTCCCGTGCTCTCCCACATTAGCTCTTCCGTATCTCCCGTTCTCTCTCTCTCTCGGTCGCACTCGCTAGCTTCGTCGCTCCCGTGCTCTCCCACAGTCACTCTCTCAGTCTCTCCTGTTCTCTCTCTCTCTCTCGGTCGCATTCACGCGCTCCGTATTTCCCGTTCTCTCTCTCTCGTTCGCATTCACTTTCTCCGTCGGTTCCGCGATTTATTGCGGTCGAATTCGCTCTCTCTGTCGCTCCCCTGCTCTCCCACCGTTGAATGCGCTCTCTCTGTCTTGTCCCCGTGCTCTCCCACCGTCGAATTCGCTCTCTCTGTCGCTCCCCTGCTCTCCCACCGTCGAATTCCCTCTCTCTGTCGCCCCCCTGCTCTCCCACCGCCGCATGCTCTCACTCCGTCGCTCCCGTGCGCTCCGTCGGTCGAATTCAGGCTCACAGTTGCTCACATGCTCTCGCTCTTCCATGCTTGTTGCCTCCGTCACTCTCTTCTCCACCCCCTACGGTTTCCCTCTCTCACTGGTACTCTTCTCTCTCCTTTTCTGCCTCACACTGCCTCCTCTCTTGTCCTCCCCCCCACTGCCGTCTCCCTCTCCTCTCCGCACTCTGTCCCACGAGTTCACCCTCCCCCTCCCTCCCCTCCCGAGCTCTCCCTCTCTCCCACTCCCTCTCCTCCTCCCCCTCCGTGCTATCCTATCACTGCCTCTTCTTCTCTGCCTCTGCTCTGTATTCCATCGCATGTGGTTTGTTGTCTTGTTCGCAGATGTCGTACAAGTGTAACAAATGCCCAGCACAGGCATCTTTTGACACGGCACAGGCTCTAGCTTCACACCAGCGAAGCCAGGCGTGCAGGGCCGTGAGACTGCCTGCGGTTGCATCTGCGAGTGGTAGCAATCCGTACCTGCTACCTCGACACCACCGAGCGCCAGTGGCGCACATCCCATCTTTCAACCTTACGCCCGTGGAGTTAGATGATGCTCCTGTTGTGTGTGATGCTGCTGAAACTGTGCAGGATAGCATGGTGCCACCAGATTTTGTTTCAGACGTAGATAGTGACAGTGGCAGTAGCTCAGATAGTGATGATGATGAGGACTGCATGCCTTGTGATGTACCTGTTGCTAATAACATACCTAGTGAGGTTGGGGGGGGAGGAGGGGAGGGTGGATCTGGACAGGCAGCAGCTAATGCGACGGAAGGCCTCGGGGTTCCCGGGTCTGAGGATGTCGAGGAACGTCCATTCAACTTCATGGATGCCCTTGCACACTGGTTGTTGATGGAGAATCTGTCACAAAGCCAGATTGCTACCCTCTTGGCAATCCTATGTCATGAAAGCACACGGCTATCTGACATTGCCCAGTGGAAAACCATCCGTGATGTTGAAAAGTATGCAGAGTCGAGGGTTGCCGACACGTCGAGGGGCTGGACGAAGGCCAGGGTGCGTGTTGGGACAAAGGCATGGCTTGAATATCACTATTGTGATGGTCTTCAAGCGCTGAAAGAGCTTCTCACACATCCGAAGCTTGAAGGTAAGATTGTGAAGGAAGCGAAGGCTCGCATCCCCGGCGAAAAGCATGTTTACACCAATCCAGAAACGGGTGATTGGTGGTTAAAGATGCAAGAAAACATTCGCAAGGAAATGGTGGATGGCTTTGTCGCTGCTCTCGTACTAGCGTCGGATGAGACGCACATGGACCAGCGGGGTAAGGCGAAAGGCCACCCCTTGTACATGACACTGGCCAATATTCTAAGGGAGGAGAGGTGGAAGAAGCACGGCCACGTGCTACTCGCTCTTCTCCCGGAATTCACAGCAGAGTACGACTCATTGGATAAGCTTGTTGTGTTCCAACATGTGCTAAGCCAAGTGCTAGCCCCACTCAAGCGTGCGTCCCACACGGGTATCAAGATCAAGGGTTCCAACGGTGATACCTTGAACGCTTGGCCTGCTCTATATGCGTATGTGTGTGACTATCCCGAATCGTGCAAGGTCACGTGCACAAAGTCGGGTAGCACAACTCGTCCATGCTCCATTTGCCTCACTCAACGGGAAGAATTAGCGCATTTTAAGCGTGACATGGTACATAGGACACCTCATGTCCACCGATCATTGTACCGGATGATAAAGAGTGGTTCGTATGATGCTACGAAGCACGATGACTTGTCAATGCATCCCGTAGAGTGTTGCCTATGGGGCTGGCGGTGGGAATCTGAGCCACTTCTCAACCCATACCTTTGTGTCATGCCTGACATCATGCACCAGGCTGACTTGGGGTTGTTGGAACACATTGTAGAATGCATTCGTCAAGGTGGTGACACACCCGACACTAAAATGACCGATGCACGAAGGAAGTTGCTGGATAGGAGGTTAAAGTACCTACGCAGCATCACTCGGAGTGCGTTTATGCGCCTACCAGCTGGCACTTACTTCTCTAAAGGTGCCAACTATCAAGCATACGAGCATCGTAGTGTCATGCAAGTACTTCCTTTCCTTGTTACCACGTTCGTCACACAGCCACAAATGGATGCATTGATTGCCTATGTGGAGTGGTATTTGCATTGTGCACGTGTGAGTGAGCACACGGATGAGTCGCTCCTAGACTTGAAGCAACGGGCAGAGAAGATGCTCAATGGGCTTACAAGAGCATTCAAGCAACACTCGGGCTGGAAAATTGTGAAGGCACACTTGGTGAGTCATTTCATTGACGCCATCAAGCGTGCAGGTGTTCCAGAGCACTATAGTGCGCAGCTCTTTGAACACTTGCACATTGAGTACATAAAACACCCATACCGTGCCTCTAACAAGAGGAGCGTGGGATCTCAAATTGTTAGCTCCGAAGTCCAGCGCCTGCGCTTGCAGCCACTTGCACCAGTCTTGGGCAAGCGGAAAAGGTATGACACGGCCATGCTTATGGCCCAACGGACAGGCACACGCTACTTGTCTCGCACGAGCTGGAAGTTGGTGGTACCAAAAGCCCCGGAAGTGCCACAACCACAAACTTCTGATGGCAAAAGAGATAAGGCTTATGCCGAAGCTCTACGGGAAGAGCTGCCATTTCTCAGGGGTGCCTTAGACATTGCACCAAAGTGTAGGGGTGAGGATATCACTCACATCCAGGTTCACACCGAGCTAGCAATGCCTGCAGCCGTGGATGCCGAGTTCTCTCGCCTTCCTCATCGCATCCGTGCGCTCCCTTCCTTCCATGGAAGGCCATGGTTCTCAGATGTAGCTGTGCTGGGGACTGAGAAAGAAGAGGGTGATTCAGAGTGGTATGCTAAGTTACTACTACTCTTCCGAATTGTAGAGAATGGGACGAACATATGCATTCATAAAGTACTATGAGGCTACTAGGGCCCTAGACCCGGTAACGAAGTGTGTGAAGCTGAAGTGGGCAGCCCAAGGTGATCGATACAGGGTAATAGAGACAGCAAGCATCAAACGAGCGGTTCATTTAGTGCAGCCGTTCATAGGGGATGACACATGGCTTGTAAACAGATTCTGTTTATAGAGATTATAATCGTGTAGTTGATCAGTACTTGAGCACATATTTTATCGCAGCTGTGTTTATATGCTCCGTTCTCTGATATAACCAAACTTAGAGAAATACCTAGAAGGTGGAATGTTATTACTGATCTGTATTTTGTTGTGTGGCATTTTAGGCACATCACCTAGAAACAAGTTTGACACAAAAAAAAAAAGTGTAGACACTGGCTCCGAAACAACAAGGCTAGTATCGGTAAACAGTCCAAGTGTGGGTGCATGTATCGATACTAGCCTTGCTGGCACACTCGTGGTATTTTCGGGCGCGTTTTGGTGGTTGTAAACACATCCAATCACATGCGACGACGCCTGTGGTTGAGACAACCAATGAGCAAATGGCAACATACAGCGTTGCTCTGTCGTGCGCGTGATTTCATAAAAGAATGGATTTGTCAGAGGTCCACTGGAGATCCCCGATGATCCTAGGGAAGGGTTACAGGCACGTCGGCCTGGGGGGTTATGGGCGCACTCACCCGCTATATAAATAAGCCCTTTTATCCCAGTGGTTAGTGACTGGGATTCTGACATGTTATCAGAGCGAAGGTCTCGGGTTCGATTCCCGGTGTGTGCACTTCGGGCATCCCAGTGCGGGGGGGTGTCAGAGGTCCACTGGAGATCCCCGATGATCCTAGGGAAGGGTTACAGGCACGTCGGCCTGGGGGGTTATGGGCGCACTCACCCGCTATATAAATAAGCCCTTTTATCCCAGTGGTTAGTGACTGGGATTCTGACAGAATTGGCCTTGTTTGTTGCGGGCAATTTTTCCTGGTGGAATAGTACTGAAACCTCAACTTCACCACTAGCGTGGTGCTTTGTTTCCTGCTGTATACGGGAACAAGGATGTGCAAAAATTATCTCGGGAATTTTTCCCTGACCCAATGGGCGTCGAGTCGCGAAATGCCCCACGCAGACGACAGCTGAAGGCATCGGCGATTTACAGACACCTGCCATGCTCACGAAGCGTGAGTCACGATGGCCCTTTCGCGCCGTCCTTACAGACTTCTGCATCATTTTAAATGCTGCCCCTGTCACGCAATGGTTTGTTGTGACCTGTGCCTAAAACACACAGGAATAGTAGTTTCAACACTCGTCTCCAAACCAGCGCCTCCCCTGCCTAGACTCGATACTCGGTACCACAGAACTCACAATGCGCTGAGAATCGTTAGTTCTCAGTACCACCAAATTTCAACGCCGACGGGTCTAATAGTTAAAAAATTCAGTACCGGAAAGTGTAAACATAATGTAACACCTTCTAGTTCCAAAAACACCACGCCACACAGCCCATAAAAACAAATGACCTTGAAGTCATCCAAGGCCATTCACAGCCTAATCAACGACGACGACCGTTTCAGCAAAATGTCGCACGCGTCTACCATTTTGGGTGGAAAACGTGCCTGTGCGACAGATGGCGACCCTCGAATTGATGCCACCCTCGAACCTGCGCCGATTGTACCCTCTAAACGACCAGCAACCTCCTCTGCCCCCCAGGTCACTGATGAAACTTACCTCAACTTCCTCGCATGGATGAGCCACCAGGCTATCAAACCTGCTCCTACCATGCCCCCAGCCACAGCCGTAACAGAGGCCCCAGCAGCACCACCAACTCAAGCTGGTGAGGCAAATGCTGGAGCGACGGGAGTAGTCCAGGATGGGGAAGCCATCGCCATCCCCAACACTGCCAGTCAGACCCCGTTCACCCCGGGCGCTTCCGTAATCCCTGTGAAGGCACGCACTGGTGAGTGTGCATGTTGTGGTTTGTTTGTTGCCTTCACTTAATTTTACATGTTGTAATCAGCATATTACTCTTAACTCCAGAAAACATACATTCGCGGGTAATGATACCTATGTTGCTTTTACATTCGCAGCTACTCTTCATCCGCGTGTGGAGTCCGGAGTACTGCTTGAGGCTCAGTTAGAGGATCTGAACAACACGCTGCAGATCTCCCGCCAACGCGAGCAGGAACTTCAAGACGAGAATGACAACAAGGACCTCGAGCTCGAGCACCTCCGGACCGTCGTTGAAGAGCAGCGGCAACGCATCGATGCTCTCGAGAATCGGTCCGTCACGGTGGCTGCACCGCCGCAAATCGCGGCCCAGAGTGGCACCGTCATTCAGGGCCCCGTTCTGTTGTTTGACATCAACAAACTTGATGTCATTGGTGGTGTCGTGCAGCTTTCGACGAAGCTCACGGATGAACTTCAGATCAAGGTTAGCTCTTACGAATTCATTACACATTGTCTTGTTTTATTCCCCGCCCTTACGTTTTCTCTTGATTTGTTGCAGAAATTCACGGGCGACTCCATTCACTGGCTCACAACAGTTGCGCCTGGAAGTTACATGAGTTTCTACCCCGACTGGCAAGAGCTGCAACACACCGTTGCCATGAAGTATTTAGAGGACGGGGTAAGCAACGATGAGTTCTACTACGCCGTTTCCAGGAACTGTAAGATAAGGGAGACTGCTAAATCTAAGTTTTCAGAGAGACGATCGAACCTTAACGGCCCGATAAGGGTGTATGCCTGGGGCTTTGGGGGATACTACAGCGAGACCGTTGTACCCGCGCTTGCTGCTGTGGGTATCAAAGCTGGATTTGTGAGAACACCTGCGCAGTGGGCAGAACGATTCCTGCATGGTGTGTATGGTTCCGTCTCTCATGTTTTTTTTTTTATCGACGATCTATACTAATCTCGTTCATTTTTCCATACAGGTCCCTATGGTTCAATTTGGCATTGCGGTGAAGACGAGCGCCCGTTTTCGAACCTTGGGTGGATCATGGCAGTGTGCAAGGCCTTCGGTGGCGTTAAGGCTACTACCTGGAACATCAAGCTTGTTGCAGCTGCGTACGTGTGCTACGTGGTAAGTTTCAAAGCTTTTTCTGCTAAATTATTAAGGTATTTGTGTCTTACAATATTTCTTTATCATGAACTTGCAGGTTGAGTGGCCAATGGCCAACGCTAAGGGAACCAAGATTCCCGCCATGTCTGGCAACGAGCTTCTCAACACTCAGAACATGCAGAGGAAGATAAGTGAGATTATTTCATGGCTGAAAGTGTGGTACCAGCGTGACCCTAGTATCTGGAATCCTGCTCACCCTGCTGGCTTTTCTATGTGCAAGGCAGTAAAGATCGAGATTGAAGGATTTGAGAGGCAATTTTTCCCTGATGGTGTTCCTGCCTAATAATAGTTTCGTGATTGGTAACATGTTTTTGTCTGCGCAATTAATAACAAGAATCTGTGATTGCTATAAGAAACTCCGTAGCATAACAAGCAATTCCGTAGCATTATAAGAATCTCTAGATGCAACTGCTAGAATTATAATTTACATTTTTGTCCAGAAAATAAATCAATGAATATAAATTATTGACGGAATACTACATCGTGTACTACGGGAATAATTGTGAAGTGTATATTATCAGAAGTATCTGCGAATTTCATACAGTCACAGTAATTACGAACTAACGTACAGGCACAAATTTATAGTGTACAATGTATCGGTTTCTAATACTGTTGGTGTCGATGTAACAGGTCACGCGCGTGGTAACAACACAACCTTGGATGGGAGGAACCAGGCATCTCTCGCACGATCGACTCAATTACGAGGGAACGAGCGCGACTGTTGACAGCTGCAAACTGGCATTTCAATCTGGAAACGCCAATCAGCCGCTGCTCCACTTTGAATGGCAATCGCAATACCCAGCCGTCAACCAGTGCGGCTGTTTCCAGCCGTGAATGGCTTAACCCTCGATCATGAATGGCCACCGAGGGCAATTGCGAAATCCAACCGTTCGCACCCGGAAACCAGCAGTTCATTCCCGTACCCAGGACCCGATTTTTTCCGATGTGAAGTGGAGAAGGAGGAGGGGGAAGTAAGGGAGGAGGGTGTTGGAGGCTCAGTTGCGCATGCAGTAACTGCTGCTGCTAGTGGTGGTGGCGGTGCTGTGGCTCAGACTGCTGAAGCCCCCTCCCAGCAATTTTTTCTGAGCACGGATGCTGACGTCATAGCGGAAGGACCGTTTCCGCCATGGGTGGAGGGCGGGGAGGCTGCCAACCTGCTGCTGATTCGCCTCGTGCAGACCCATCTGTGGCGCCGCCAGTTCCCCGCCAACTGCTCCCTCCCCCATGTGCGGTGCGCTCCCCCTCCCCCATGTGCGGTGCGCTCCCCCTCCCCCATGTGCGGTGCGCTCCCCCTCCCCCATGTGCGGTGCGCTCCTCCTTCCCCCATCCCCTCTTTTCCCCATCCCCTCTTTTCCCCATCCCCTCTTCACCCCATCCCCTCTTTTCTTCCCCATCCCTTCTTTCCCCCAGCCCCTCTTCCCCCATGGCCTCATGCACACCCACCTGTGGCGCCTCCACCACCCAGACTCTACCCCCGAGGTCTCTCCACCTCTCCCATTTCCCCCGTGCCACGGGCTTGCCTCCTCACCAGCCCCCCTCCCTCACTGCCCTGCCCTGCCGTTGCCGTCTCCCACCATCACTCCTTTCCTCCCTCCCTCCGTGCTACCCCATCTGCAACGTTATGGAACATGGCTGACATGGCTGACATGGCGCCAGCGATGGGGCAGGCGTCCACTGGCTGGCACACCGAGCGCCCACTTTCCTCCCTGAATATCCACTCCCACCATGCTGCACTCCCACCATGCTGCACGTTCATGTTTGCATTGCAGCCTTTCAGCGCACGCGGCGAGGCGGCTTTGCAAGCAGCTGGCGTACATGGCGGCGGCGCTGGCCCGGCTGGCGTATATGGCGGCGGCAGCGTTTTTGAGTCGACTCAAAGGCAGCAGCGCTGGGGCAGGCATCCTGTCGGTCACATCACACCCACCCCATCGGAAAAAATCGGGTCCTGGGTACGGGAATGAACTGCTGGTTTCCGGGTGCGAACGGTTGGATTTCGCAATTGCCCTCGGTGGCCATTCATGATCGAGGGTTAAGCCATTCACGGCTGGAAACAGCCGCACTGGTTGACGGCTGGGTATTGCGATTGCCATTCAAAGTGGAGCAGCGGCTGATTGGCGTTTCCAGATTGAAATGCCAGTTTGCAGCTGTCAACAGTCGCGCTCGTTCCCTCGTAATTGAGTCGATCGTGCGAGAGATGCCTGGTTCCTCCCATCCAAGGTTGTGTTGTTACCACGCGCGTGACCTGTTACATCGACACCAACAGTATTAGAAACCGATACATTGTACACTATAAATTTGTGCCTGTACGTTAGTTCGTAATTACTGTGACTGTATGAAATTCGCAGATACTTCTGATAATATACACTTCACAATTATTCCCGTAGTACACGATGTAGTATTCCGTCAATAATTTATATTCATTGATTTATTTTCTGGACAAAAATGTAAATTATAATTCTAGCAGTTGCATCTAGAGATTCTTATAATGCTACGGAATTGCTTGTTATGCTACGGAGTTTCTTATAGCAATCACAGATTCTTGTTATTAATTGCGCAGACAAAAACATGTTACCAATCACGAAACTATTATTAGGCAGGAACACCATCAGGGAAAAATTGCCTCTCAAATCCTTCAATCTCGATCTTTACTGCCTTGCACATAGAAAAGCCAGCAGGGTGAGCAGGATTCCAGATACTAGGGTCACGCTGGTACCACACTTTCAGCCATGAAATAATCTCACTTATCTTCCTCTGCATGTTCTGAGTGTTGAGAAGCTCGTTGCCAGACATGGCGGGAATCTTGGTTCCCTTAGCGTTGGCCATTGGCCACTCAACCTGCAAGTTCATGATAAAGAAATATTGTAAGACACAAATACCTTAATAATTTAGCAGAAAAAGCTTTGAAACTTACCACGTAGCACACGTACGCAGCTGCAACAAGCTTGATGTTCCAGGTAGTAGCCTTAACGCCACCGAAGGCCTTGCACACTGCCATGATCCACCCAAGGTTCGAAAACGGGCGCTCGTCTTCACCGCAATGCCAAATTGAACCATAGGGACCTGTATGGAAAAATGAACGAGATTAGTATAGATCGTCGATAAAAAAAAAACATGAGAGACGGAACCATACACACCATGCAGGAATCGTTCTGCCCACTGCGCAGGTGTTCTCACAAATCCAGCTTTGATACCCACAGCAGCAAGCGCGGGTACAACGGTCTCGCTGTAGTATCCCCCAAAGCCCCAGGCATACACCCTTATCGGGCCGTTAAGGTTCGATCGTCTCTCTGAAAACTTAGATTTAGCAGTCTCCCTTATCTTACAGTTCCTGGAAACGGCGTAGTAGAACTCATCGTTGCTTACCCCGTCCTCTAAATACTTCATGGCAACGGTGTGTTGCAGCTCTTGCCAGTCGGGGTAGAAACTCATGTAACTTCCAGGCGCAACTGTTGTGAGCCAGTGAATGGAGTCGCCCGTGAATTTCTGCAACAAATCAAGAGAAAACGTAAGGGCGGGGAATAAAACAAGACAATGTGTAATGAATTCGTAAGAGCTAACCTTGATCTGAAGTTCATCCGTGAGCTTCGTCGAAAGCTGCACGACACCACCAATGACATCAAGTTTGTTGATGTCAAACAACAGAACGGGGCCCTGAATGACGGTGCCACTCTGGGCCGCGATTTGCGGCGGTGCAGCCACCGTGACGGACCGATTCTCGAGAGCATCGATGCGTTGCCGCTGCTCTTCAACGACGGTCCGGAGGTGCTCGAGCTCGAGGTCCTTGTTGTCATTCTCGTCTTGAAGTTCCTGCTCGCGTTGGCGGGAGATCTGCAGCGTGTTGTTCAGATCCTCTAACTGAGCCTCAAGCAGTACTCCGGACTCCACACGCGGATGAAGAGTAGCTGCGAATGTAAAAGCAACATAGGTATCATTACCCGCGAATGTATGTTTTCTGGAGTTAAGAGTAATATGCTGATTACAACATGTAAAATTAAGTGAAGGCAACAAACAAACCACAACATGCACACTCACCAGTGCGTGCCTTCACAGGGATTACGGAAGCGCCCGGGGTGAACGGGGTCTGACTGGCAGTGTTGGGGATGGCGATGGCTTCCCCATCCTGGACTACTCCCGTCGCTCCAGCATTTGCCTCACCAGCTTGAGTCGGTGGTGCTGCTGGGGCCTCTGTTACGGCTGTGGCTGGGGGCATGGTAGGAGCAGGTTTGATAGCCTGGTGGCTCATCCATGCGAGGAAGTTGAGGTAAGTTTCGTCAGTGACCTGGGGGGCAGAGGAGGTTGCTGGTCGTTTAGAGGGTACAATCGGCGCAGGTTCGAGGGTGGCATCAATTCGAGGGTCGCCATCTGTCGCACAGGCACGTGTTCCACCCAAAATGGTAGACGCGTGCGACATTTTGCTGAAACGGTCGTCGTCGTTGATTAGGCTGTGAATGGCCTTGGATGACTTCAAGGTCATTTGTTTTTATGGGCTGTGTGGCGTGGTGTTTTTGGAACTAGAAGGTGTTACATTATGTTTACACTTTCCGGTACTGAATTTTTTAACTATTAGACCCGTCGGCGTTGAAATTTGGTGGTACTGAGAACTAACGATTCTCAGCGCATTCTGAGTTCGGTGGTACCGAGTATCGAGTCTAGGCAGGGGAGGCGCTGGTTTGGAGACGAGTGTTGAAACTACTATTCCTGTGTGTTTTAGGCACAGGTCACAACAAACCATTGCGTGACAGGGGCATCATTTAAAATGATGCAGAAGTCTGTAAGGACGGCGCGAAAGGGCCATCGTGACTCACGCTTCGTGAGCATGGCAGGTGTCTGTAAATCGCCGATGCCTTCAGCTGTCGTCTGCGTGGGGCATTTCGCGACTCGACGCCCATTGGGTCAGGGAAAAATTCCCGAGATAATTTTTGCACATCCTTGTTCCCGTATACAGCAGGAAACAAAGCACCACGCTAGTGGTGAAGTTGAGGTTTCAGTACTATTCCACCAGGAAAAATTGCCCGCAACAAACAAGGCCAATCCATTCTTTTATGAAATCACGCGCACGACAGAGCAACGCTGTATGTTGCCATTTGCTCATTGGTTGTCTCAACCACAGGCGTCGTCGCATGTGATTGGATGTGTTTACAACCACCAAAACGCGCCCGAAAATACCACGAGTGTGCCAGCAAGGCTAGTATCGATACATGCACCCACACTTGGACTGTTTACCGATACTAGCCTTGTTGTTTCGGAGCCAGTGTCTACACTATTTTTTTTTTGTGTCAAACTTGTTTCTAGGTGATGTGCCTAAAATGCCACACAACAAAATACAGATCAGTAATAACATTCCACCTTCTAGGTATTTCTCTAAGTTTGGTTATATCAGAGAACGGAGCATATAAATACAGCTGCGATAAAATATGTGCTCAAGTACTGATCAACTACACGATTATAATCTCTATAAACAGAATCTGTTTACAAGCCATGTGTCATCCCCTATGAACGGCTGCACTAAATGAACCGCTCGTTTGATGCTTGCTGTCTCTATTACCCTGTATCGATCACCTTGGGCTGCCCACTTCAGCTTCACACACTTCGTTACCGGGTCTAGGGCCCTAGTAGCCTCATAGTACTTTATGAATGCATATGTTCTTCCCATTCTCTACAATTCGGAAGAGTAGTAGTAACTTAGCATACCACTCTGAATCACCCTCTTCTTTCTCAGTCCCCAGCACAGCTACATCTGAGAACCATGGCCTTCCATGGAAGGAAGGGAGCGCACGGATGCGATGAGGAAGGCGAGAGAACTCGGCATCCACGGCTGCAGGCATTGCTAGCTCGGTGTGAACCTGGATGTGAGTGATATCCTCACCCCTACACTTTGGTGCAATGTCCAAGGCACCCCTGAGAAATGGCAGCTCTTCCCGTAGAGCTTCGGCATAAGCCTTATCTCTTTTGCCATCAGAAGTTTGTGGTTGTGGCACTTCCGGGGCTTTTGGTACCACCAACTTCCAGCTCGTGCGAGACAAGTAGCGTGTGCCTGTCCGTTGGGCCATAAGCATGGCCGTGTCATACCTTTTCCGCTTGCCCAAGACTGGTGCAAGTGGCTGCAAGCGCAGGCGCTGGACCTCGGAGCTAACAATTTGAGATCCCACGCTCCTCTTGTTAGAGGCACGGTATGGGTGTTTTATGTACTCAATGTGCAAGTGTTCAAAGAGCTGCGCACTATAGTGCTCTGGAACACCTGCACGCTTGATGCGTCAATGAAATGACTCACCAAGTGTGCCTTCACAATTTTCCAGCCCGAGTGTTGCTTGAATGCTCTTGTAAGCCCATTGAGCATCTTCTCTGCCCGTTGCTTCAAGTCTAGGAGCGACTCATCCGTGTGCTCACTCACACGTGCACAATGCAAATACCACTCCACATAGGCAATCAATGCATCCATTTGTGGCTGTGTGACGAACGTGGTAACAAGGAAAGGAAGTACTTGCATGACACTACGATGCTCGTATGCTTGATAGTTGGCACCTTTAGAGAAGTAAGTGCCAGCTGGTAGGCGCATAAACGCACTCCGAGTGATGCTGCGTAGGTACTTTAACCTCCTATCCAGCAACTTCCTTCGTGCATCGGTCATTTTAGTGTCGGGTGTGTCACCACCTTGACGAATGCATTCTACAATGTGTTCCAACAACCCCAAGTCAGCCTGGTGCATGATGTCAGGCATGACACAAAGGTATGGGTTGAGAAGTGGCTCAGATTCCCACCGCCAGCCCCATAGGCAACACTCTACGGGATGCATTGACAAGTCATCGTGCTTCGTAGCATCATACGAACCACTCTTTATCATCCGGTACAATGATCGGTGGACATGAGGTGTCCTATGTACCATGCCACGCTTAAAATGCGCTAATTCTTCCCGTTGAGTGAGGCAAATGGAGCATGGACGAGTTGTGCTACCCGACTTTGTGCACGTGACCTTGCACGATTCGGGATAGTCACACACATACGCATATAGAGCAGGCCAAGCGTTCAAGGTATCACCGTTGGAACCCTTGATCTTGATACCCGTGTGGGACGCACGCTTGAGTGGGGCTAGCACTTGGCTTAGCACATGTTGGAACACAACAAGCTTATCCAATGAGTCGTACTCTGCTGTGAATTCCGGGAGAAGAGCGAGTAGCACGTGGCCGTGCTTCTTCCACCTCTCCTCCCTTAGAATATTGGCCAGTGTCATGTACAAGGGGTGGCCTTTCGCCTTACCCCGCTGGTCCATGTGCGTCTCATCCGACGCTAGTACGAGAGCAGCGACAAAGCCATCCACCATTTCCTTGCGAATGTTTTCTTGCATCTTTAACCACCAATCACCCGTTTCTGGATTGGTGTAAACATGCTTTTCGCCGGGGATGCGAGCCTTCGCTTCCTTCACAATCTTACCTTCAAGCTTCGGATGTGTGAGAAGCTCTTTCAGCGCTTGAAGACCATCACAATAGTGATATTCAAGCCATGCCTTTGTCCCAACACGCACCCTGGCCTTCGTCCAGCCCCTCGACGTGTCGGCAACCCTCGACTCTGCATACTTTTCAACATCACGGATGGTTTTCCACTGGGCAATGTCAGATAGCCGTGTGCTTTCATGACATAGGATTGCCAAGAGGGTAGCAATCTGGCTTTGTGACAGATTCTCCATCAACAACCAGTCTGCAAGGGCATCCATGAAGTTGAATGGACGTTCCTCGACATCCTCAGACCCGGGAACCCCGAGGCCTTCCGTCGCATTAACTGCTGCCTGTCCAGATCCACCCTCCCCTGCTCCCCCCCCAACCTCACTAGGTATGTTATTAGCAACAGGTACATCACAAGGCATGCAGTCCTCATCATCATCACTATCTGAGCTACTGCCACTGTCACTATCTACGTCTGAAACAAAATCTGGTGGCACCATGCTATCCTGCACAGTTTCAGCAGCATCACACACAACAGGAGCATCATCTAACTCCACGGGCGTAAGGTTGAAAGATGGGATGTGCGCCACTGGCGCTCGGTGGTGTCGAGGTAGCAGGTACGGATTGCTACCACTCGCAGATGCAACCGCAGGCAGTCTCACGGCCCTGCACGCCTGGCTTCGCTGGTGTGAAGCTAGAGCCTGTGCCGTGTCAAAAGATGCCTGTGCTGGGCATTTGTTACACTTGTACGACATCTGCGAACAAGACAACAAACCACATGCGATGGAATACAGAGCAGAGGCAGAGAAGAAGAGGCAGTGATAGGATAGCACGGAGGGGGAGGAGGAGAGGGAGTGGGAGAGAGGGAGAGCTCGGGAGGGGAGGGAGGGGGAGGGTGAACTCGTGGGACAGAGTGCGGAGAGGAGAGGGAGACGGCAATGGGGGGGAGGACAAGAGAGGAGGCAGTGTGAGGCAGAAAAGGAGAGAGAAGAGTACCAGTGAGAGAGGGAAACCGTAGGGGGTGGAGAAGAGAGTGACGGAGGCAACAAGCATGGAAGAGCGAGAGCATGTGAGCAACTGTGAGCCTGAATTCGACCGACGGAGCGCACGGGAGCGACGGAGTGAGAGCATGCGGCGGTGGGAGAGCAGGGGGGCGACAGAGAGAGCGAATTCGACGGTGGGAGAGCAGGGGAGCGACAGAGAGAGCGAATTCGACGGTGGGAGAGCACGGGGGCAAGACAGAGAGAGCGCATTCAACGGTGGGAGAGCAGGGGAGCGACAGAGAGAGCGAATTCGACCGCAATAAATCGCGGAACCGATGGAGAAAGTGAATGCGAACGAGAGAGAGAGAACGGGAAATACGGAGCACGTGAATGCGACCGAGAGAGAGAGAGAACAGGAGAGACGGAGAGAGCGACTGTGGGAGAGCACGGGAGCGACGAAGCTAGCGAGTGCGACAGAGAGAGAGAGAGAACGGGAGATACGGAAGAGCTAATGTGGGAGAGCACGGGAGATACGGAGCGCGCGATCGCGAACGAGAGAGAGATAACGGGACGAACGGAGCGCGCGAAATGCGTCCGAGGGAGAGAGGACGGGAGATACGGAGCGCGCGAATGCGACCGAGAGAGAGAGAATGGGAGATACGGAAGTGCTACTGTGGGAGAGCACGAGAGGTAACGGGAGGAACGGAGCGCGCGAAATGCGTGAAGGAGAGAGAGGACGGGAGATACAGAGCGCGAATGCGACCGAGAGAGAGAGAGCATGGGAGATACGGAAGAGCTACTGTGGGAGAGCACGAGAGATAACGGAAGGAACGGAGCGCGCGAAATGCGTGCGAGAGAGAGAGGACGGGAGATACGGAGCGCGCGAATGCGACCGAGAGAGAGAGAATGGGAGATACGGAAGTGCTACTGTGGGAGAGCACGAGAGATGACGGGAGGAACGGAGCGCGCGAAATGCGTCCGAGAGAGAGAGAGGACGGGAGATACGGAGCGCGCGAATGCGACCGAGAGAGAGAGAGAATGGGAGATACGGAAGAGCTACTGTGGGAGAGCACGAGAGAGACGGAGCGCGCGAATGCGTACGAGAGAGAGAGATGACGGGAGGAACGGAGCGCGCGAAATGCGTCCGAGAGAGAGAGCACGGGACATACGGAGCTTGCGAATGCGACATGGTGAGATCACGGGAGGGTCGGAGCGCGTGATTGTGACCGGGTGAGAGAACGATAGAGGCGGGGAGAGAAAATGCGACCGAGCGAGAGCAACCTAAGCGAGCGCGGGATCCAAAATGACCAAGTGAGAGCTCGACGAGACGGATAGAGCGAAGGCGGAAGGGAGAGATCACGTTAGAAACGGTACGCTCCCCCCCCACCGGGAGAGAGCACGAGCCTACACGGAGAGCGCGACAGAGACCGAGTGAGAGATTGGGAACTACAGAGAGAGCAAATTAGAGAGGACGTGGTAGAACCTTTATGCTCACCTTCTTAAAGCTCACTCAGGTGTGAGCGCTTCGTTAAAGCGCGCCACCAACGTGACGGCCAGAAACGCGGTTCGAACGAACCTCCACGCGAGACCGGCCCTAGAGCTACGAATAGAACAACCGTGCTCATGCAAAATCGTGGGTGACTAGGAACGGATCGCCAACTTTCCTTAGCAGATACTCAAAACTGGCCAGCAAGAGATGGTGGAACGAGGAGTAACTAACGAATGAGTGGAGGATGAGGGACTACCGAGAGAGAACCACAAACGGTCGGAACGCGTCGCAACCGAAAATTGCGAGAAAGAACAAGCTACTGGCGAGTCGATTCGCATGCCTGAAAATTTTCGTCACCACGCGGCAAAAAGGATTCGCTGATTTGCGAAACGCGTTGCAAATTTCCCTGAAGTTTTACAGACCGCGAATTGCTTCCCACCACCCGTGTGGCTTCCCGCAATCTTCGGCGCGAATGAAAGAAAACGGACATGTGTCCAACAGCCAACAGATAAATCTGTACCCTGGATACAAATGTAATCTTCCATATATAACAAATTCTTATCAAGTGGCCTACATATAAAAGCAAATTTATTTCTGTCAAATTTGCCAAAACTTGAACTAAATTTTGTTCTTAGATAGATTTTAGAGGAGCTCTATGTACAATATTTAGATTTTCTGCCGTTGATAAAATTGTGAAACTAAAACAGTAAAACTTATGAGCTTGAAAAACACACACAAACAATTTAACGAGATCGCTTCCCAGTTTCGTTATGAACTACACCTAAACACACTACAAACGAAATCAGATGCGTCATAAGGAAAACAAAATCACCACAGGCCGCGCGTGCCCCAATCCCAGCCCTAGATGACAACATCCCGTCGGAAATGGTTGGGGGAACAGTAGCGACAAAAGCACCAACACAGACCCAACCGTGTAGAACCCCAAGTCACCATCCACGGCAATTTTCCAACCACCAACATTCCCTTACGCCCGTCTGCCAAACCTAATCCATTCATCGCCATTCATGACCATGAGACCGAGGACGCACTTCACCCCCGACTGGATTAGGCAGTTCCATATTTTTCCGATGCCAACCATCCGACCATCCCCCTTCTCTTCTCCCCACTCTCCCTCCCTCTCCAATCTCCACCCCTGTCGCGCTGCAGGTTCATGTATGTGGCATTTGAGCGCAGGCGGCGAGACGGCTTCGCAAAGCAACTGGCGTTCATGGCGGCAGCGCTGGGGCAGGCGGTGCAGCAGGGGCGCGTGCTGGTGGCGCGGACTTATGACCGCGCCCAGCATGCGGGGTGTGAGGGGGACGCCAATGCTCAATGGCACTGCTACTTCCTGCCTGAAACATCCGATGAGTGCCGCAGGTGAGTGAAGGGCGGAGTAAGGGAGGACGGAGAGAGGGAGGGCGGAGCGAGGGAGGAGTGAGGGACGAGTGAGGGAGGAGGGGAGGGAAAGCGGAGGAAGGCAGAGGGAAGGCGGAGGAAGGCAGAGGGAAGGCGGAGGAAGGCAGAGGAAAGGGCTTACTGGTGTCATCACCGTTTCGTTCCCACTCAAGGGCCTTAAGAATCAACTCAAGAGTCACCTCGTTCCCATGCAAGGACATTCTGGGCCCCGCCCCCAAGGCCACCCGCCCCCAAGGCCACCCGCCCCCAAAGCCAGCCGCCCCCAAGGCCAGCCGCCCCCAAGGCCAGCCGCCCCCAAAGCCAGCCGCCCCCTACTGCATCCAGTACCTTGCCTACTTCACCCGCCCTCTACCCCTCTCCCCCATCCCCTCCCACTCTGCTCCTCCCAGCACCTTCTTCCCACAGGCGAGTGAAAGAGCCGTCAGAGTTGCATGCCAGCTGTACGGAGAGAAGCTGCTGGGAGGCACTTCTGACAGCTCACAGGGCCACACCCTCTCGGGGCCACACCCTCACGGGGCCACACCCTCACGGGGCCACACCCTCTACTCACGGGGCGTAGAGTGAGAGAGGCACCAGTGGAGGGATGGGGCTTTGAGGCGACATGACATCCCTCCTCCCCCCCCCCCTTCTCTCCCCACAGGCGGGTGAAAGAGCTGTCAGAGTTGCCTAGTAGCTATACTGGCCCAGACCCCCTTATAGTCACGGGGCGTAGAGTCACAGATGCGCCGCTGGAGGAGTGGGGCCAGGGGGATGGGGACGAGGGAGACGCTGACGTGGCAATTGCAGAGAATTTGACCAATCAAACCCCAGGCGTGGACAGCTCGACCAATGAGGGCCCAGAAGAAGCGAAACCGGGCAGGCCAGGGTCAGCAGCTGAATATTTTTGAGCGGAGGTGCCGACCGTGTGGGGGGAGCCGTGGCGAGATATGGTGGGGTGAAGGGGGAAGCCGTGGGGTGTGGGGGGAGTAGGAGCAGGGGAAGAGGCTGTGGGGGGGAGAGGAGGGGGAGCGGTGGTTGAGGATGGGAGTGGGGAAGGCAGTGGACGGGACGGTGGGGTTAATGGAGGCCAAGCAGAGTCAAAGCAGCTGAACCGGTAGGATGTGAGGAAGAGGCGCATGGATAGTATCATGGTATCATGCATTACGGGCTAATAGGAGATTCTCTTGGCGCTTCATAATCACAGAGTATTGATGGTTCTTCCTCACCATCCACTGCAAGCATGCATTTCACCACAATCTCCACCATCCACTGACGTGGCAAGTGGTTCCTCACCATCCACTGCAAGCAAGCACAATTCAGCTTCATCTCCCCTATCATCCTATCACCTCCGCATCTCCTCACCTCTCACCTCTTGCCTCTCGCCTCTCAGTCTCCAGCAGTCCAGCACTGCACTCAACCCATCTTCTTCTCACTCTATGCTCTCATGCCCAGCCTTTCCCCGCATCCTCCCCCTGCCCCATCCCCACAACCATCCCCCTATCCTTCCCCCCCATTCCCTCGTTCCCCCCCGCTCCCCCGTTTCCCTCGTCCTCACGTTTCCCTCGTCCTCACGTTTCCCTCGTCCTCACGTTTCCCTCGTCCTCACGTTTCCCTCGTCCCCGTTTCCCTCGTCCTCACGTTTCCCTCGTCCCCGTTTCCCTCGTCCTCACGTTTCCCTCGTCCCCGTTTCCCTCGTCCTCACGTTTCCCTCGTCCCCGTTTCCCTCGTCCTCACGTTTCCCTCGTCCCCATTTCCCTCGTCCTCACGTTTCCCTCGTCCTCACGTTTCCCTCGTCCTCACGTTTCCCTCGTCCTCGCGTTTCTCTCGTCCCCGTTTCCCTCGTCCTCACGTTTCCCTCGTCCTCACGTTTCCCTCGTCCTCACGTTTCCCTCGTCCTCACGTTTCCCTCGTCCTCACGTTTCCCTCGTCCCCACGTTTCCCTCGTCCTCACGTTTCCCTCGTCCTCACGTTTCTCTCGTCCTCACGTTTCTCTCGTCCTCACGTTTCCCTCGTCCTCACGTTTCTCTCGTCCTCACGTTTCCCTCGTCCTCGCGTTTCTCTCGTCCCCGTTTCCCTCGTCCTCACGTTTCCCTCGTCCTCACGTTTCCCTCGTCCTCACGTTTCTCTCGTCCTCACGTTTCCCTCGTCCCCGTTTCCCTCGTCCTCACGTTTCCCTCGTCCTCACGTTTCCCTCGTCCTCACGTTTCCCTCGTCCTCACGTTTCCCTCGTCCTCACGTTTCCCTCGTCCTCACGTTTCCCTCGTCCCCGTTTCCCTCGTCCTCACGTTTCCCTCGTCCTCACGTTTCCCTCGTCCCCGTTTCCCTCGTCCTCACGTTTCCCTCGTCCCCGTTTCCCTCGTCCTCACGTTTCCCTCATCCCCGTTTCCCTCGTCCTCACGTTTCCCTCGTCCCCGTTTCCCTCGTCCTCACGTTTCCCTCGTCCCCGTTTCCCTCGTCCTCACGTTTCCCTCGTCCTCACGTTTCCCTCGTCCTCACGTTTCCCTCGTCCTCACGTTTCCCTCGTCCCCGTTTCCCTCGTCCTCACGTTTCCCTCGTCCTCACGTTTCCCTCGTCCCCGTTTCCCTCGTCCTCACGTTTCCCTCGTCCCCGTTTCCCTCGTCCTCACGTTTCCCTCATCCCCGTTTCCCTCGTCCTCACGTTTCCCTCGTCCCCGTTTCCCTCGTCCTCACGTTTCCCTCGTCCCCGTTTCCCTCGTCCTCACGTTTCCCTCGTCCCCGTTTCCCTCGTCCCCGTTGCCCTCGTGCCCATGTACCCCCTCAGAGTCCAGAGCACCTGTACTGGTGGGTCCCCTTCCTTGCTCCACTCTCACCCCTTCTCCCCTCGCCACCCCACCCTCCCCCCAAGCTGAAGCACCTGTGCTGGCGGGCCTAGGCGCACCAACCCCCCCAACCAGCCCCCTTTTTTCCTTCCGCAAGAGCCCCTTTCCTCCCCCCTCCCAGCCTGAAGCACCTGTGCTGGCGGGCCCAGGTGCAACCACCCCCCAACCCCCCCCTGTTTCCCCTCGTCCGCCCCTTTATTCCCCCCCCAGGCTGAAGCACCTGTGGTGGCGCGCCCAGGCGCTGCGCTTCCTGCTGCGCGCCCCCTCCCCCTATCTCTGCCATGTCAGCAACGTGATTCGGCATGATGCGTTCGGGCCAATGGCAGCGCGGGTGGCCGCGCTGGGGGAAGCTGCTGTGGCTCAAGCTGACGTGGCAGGTGAGGGATGGAGGGATTGCATGCGGAAGGAGTATGAGTGTGTTGCAACTCTCTGGTCCCTCATGCCTCTCTTCTCTCTCTCTTTTCGCTTCTCAGACTACAAGCATGCCTCTCTTCTCTCTCTCTTTTCGCTTCTCAGACTACAAGCATGCCCCTCTTCTCTCTCGTCTCTATCGCATGTCCCATGTCTGTTATCGCCCTCGAGTGTGTCCTGCTCCACGGTTTTTGCTGAATATGTTCAGAAACAGACAACAGCCAACAACAGCAGCCAGCGAGAAAGGGAGTGGAGCAGGAGCAGGAGCAGCCTCAGCAGCAGCAGGAGCAGCAGCAGCAGGAGCAGGAGCAGGAGCAGCAGGAGGAGGCAGCAGAGCAGCAGGTGCAACGGCGAAGACTGGTATCACAGGCGGGAAGAGATGGGGCTGCCAGCGCTGCCAGTCACAGCCACAGCCCCACTTCCCCAGCAGATGCGCCCTCCTCTATCCAAGGCACCTCCGGCAGCATGGAGAGTGACTTGTGGCGGCGCCACGTGGCAGTGTGGGTGCCGCGGCCGCTGGTGGGTGTGCACGTGCGGAGCGCGGGGCAAGGGGGAGCGGAGGCGGGCGTGTGCAGGACAATGGGTGCGCTGGTGGCCGTGAGGCAGCAGCTCCCTGCTGCTCGCTTCGTGTGGCTCAATTCTGACGAGCAGGAGGTGAGGGGTGGGTGAGGAGGGGGGGAGTTGGGTGGGGGGGGTTGAGGCGTCTCAAAGCACGTGGGCAGTGTGGGGTGAGTGGGCGTGCAGGCAAGAGTGCGGAGGACAATGGGTGCGCTGGTGGCCGTGCGGCAGCACCTCCCTGCTGCTCGCTTCGTGTGGCTCAATTCTGACGAGCAGGAGGTGAGGGGTGGGTGAGGAGGGGGGGAGTTGGGTGGGGGGGGTTGAGGCGTCTCAAAGCACGTGGGCAGTGTGGGGTGAGTGGGCGTGCAGGCAAGAGTGCGCAGGACAATGGGTGCGCTGGTGGCCGTGCGGCAGCACCTCCCTGCTGCTCGCTTCGTATGGCTCAATTCTGACGAGCAGGAGGTGAGGGAAGGGTGAAGGGGGTGAGGGGTTGAGGGGCCGTGCATGGGGGGGTGCGGAGGGCCGTGGCTGCACAAGTGAACGTGAAGCAGCAGCTGTCTGCTGCGCGCTTCTTGTGGCTCAATTCTGACGAGCAGGAGGTGAGGAGAGGGTGGGGGATTTGTTGTGAGATGACTCGAAGCACGTGGGCAGGGTGGGGCAAGAGGGCGCGCAGGCGGGCATGCGGGGGACAGTGGGTGCACTGATGGCCTAGAGGCAGAGGATATGGAGAGGGTGAGGAGAGGGTGAGGAGAGGGTGAGGAGAGTGTGAGGGAGAAGGTGCGGTCTGCACTTCATATCGCACGCTCTCTCCTTGTGGTGACCGTGTCATGCGTGCATGCAATCAGGTCAAGCCACCGCCCATTTCCCCACCTCTGCTCGTGACCAGGCACCCTTACTGATTCTCTTACCCTTCCGCCCGTTAACCACTCTCCCCTCCTCCCCCCAGCCATTGGATCAGCTAGCAGCAACCCCAACGTGGACGTCGTTCCACTCACACACTCCCCGCCTCTCCGTCGCCTCCTCCATCTCTCCACCAATGCTCACCACCTTGCACTCTCCTGTCACTGCCCTCCTTTTCACCCTCTCCTCCCAGCAGCCACTGGAGCAACTAGCAACGACCCCAGGGTGGACGTGGTTCTACTCGCACACGCCCCGCCCCTCTTCCTCCGCATCCGCAGCAGCACGTGCCAAACAGCAGCAGAAACAGCAGCAGCAGCAGCAGCAGCAGCAGCAGCAGCAGCAGCAGCAGCAGGCGCTGCAGGAGGTGGTGGGAGCAGCGTTCACAAATCTTCTGATAGCCCAGCAGGCTGACGTGTTCGTCGGGTCATTCAAGTCTCCTCGGGCTTACCTTATCTATGCGCTCCGCTGCACCGGTGGGAAGTTGCAGAGCAGCTTCTTAGATGGGGGGCTGTGAGCGTTCGCTAGTGTGCTGAGTTGACAGCCCAGCAGGCCGATGTGTTGATCGGCGCCGCCAGGTCTCCCACGTGTGTGTAATAAGACGATTTATTACCCTAAACCCTGGTGGCCTAGCAGGCCGATGTGTTCATCAGGTCAACCAAGTCTTATCAGTCCTACCGCTGCACTGCTGCGCTGCTGGGAAGCTTCAGAGCAGCTTCTTGGACACGGGAATATGACAGTGAGTTACCGCAACGCTCAAGTATATTGTCCATCGCAAAGCTACAATGAAAAAGCAGAATACTAGTTTGAATTCAAACCGTTTCAATCTTTGTGTGATGGTAAACAAACAAATATGCGCATATCGCATCTCTAGTTCTTCTCATTCTCGCCATTTTCGATGGGGCTGGTTTGGGATGCCAGACCGAACCCTAGTTCCTCGGGAGCTTTTTGCAAGAAGCATGCGTGCGAGGCGCGTTTCCTGAGAGCGCGATGCCTTCAGTCACCTTGCGACGCATTACAGGCTCCGTCTCAGTCGCTGCCCCCCGCCGCTACGCGGCGACAGTTGCATTCTACTGACTATGGCAGAACAGAATCTTTCGTTGAGCAGCCTAGGTCTCATCTCACGACGGCAAGCCCGTCAGGTTCACCCATCATCCAGTCAACACACCAGCAGACCCCTTCTTTTCGTAGACGGACCGCTTTATGATGCTTGGGCAGCGAGCGAGCTTAATGGGAAACGCGACACGTATATTTTTGGGCAGCTACAGTTGAGCCTGCTGCCCAGAAGCTCCGTGAATGTCGATTAACGAGCCGCATTACTGTCAAACGACATCGCCAGGTTTGGAGGTTCGGCTTGGGACCGAAGTTTCGGCCTTCACCTATTGGCTGTCCAAATGCCGAGCTTCGATTTTCGGCTTGGAGCAGCAGACTCGGCCTCCTCTTATTGGTAAACCGAAACCTTTGTGGTTCGGCTTCTAATCCAGAGCACAGGCAGAGCACTTTTCGGGGTGTTTCTTTTCTGTCTTTCTTCTCCGTTCGGGCAGCAGGTTTGCTTCCTCCGTAGCCTCGAGAGTTGCTTCTCTTCACCCTTTCCTCCGCCTTGGAACCTCCTCCCTTTCGAACAATACAAAGCCCACCTGTCCTCGCCATTCTCCCCACCACAGCAGTTGAAACCTCATTCTTCCGTTGACTCTCAGAATCAGCTTCTATCTTCTCGAGCCTTCGATCAGCTTCACCTTCTAGCTTTGCGTTTCGTGCCTTTGCGAGTAGCCTCTCGTTCCTACCGCTATGGCATCTCGGATCCCCCCGACTCTTGCTGGATCTGCGCGCCGCGCTAACATCTTGAAGATGTGGCGTCACGCGATTGCAGTGCGCGTGGGACGCTTTAACGAGGTAGAGCAGTGCGCTGTGCGCTCCCCCCGTGCGTCGCTCGGCTTCTCCCCTCTGCGACCCAAGCCCGTGGCTAAGCCGCCCAGCAAGAAGCCCAGGCCCAGGGATGTGATGGGTACCGCTGCTGCTGTGAAGCCCAGAGCGGTGCACAGCGGTCAAGCGACCGTCGCAGCTGCAGCAACCAAAGCTACGCCAGCCAAGGCAACGCTAGATAAGGCGACGCCACCTAAGCCGATGCTAGCTAAGGCGACGCCACCTAAGCCGATGCTAGCTAAGGCGACGCCACCTAAGGCGATGCTAGCTAAGGCGACGCCAGTCAAGGCGACGCCACCTGAGGTGACGCCAGCTAACGCGACGCCAGCTAAGGCGACTCCACCTAAGGTGACGCCAGCTAAGGCGACGCCAGCTAAGGCGACGCCAGCCAATGCGATGCCAGCTAGAGCGACTCCAGCTAAGGTGACGCCAGCAGCACCAGCTAAGGCGACACGTGAAAGCTCTACTGCTGCGGCAGGTGTGAAGGCTGCAGGTGCAAGCAGCCCAGCAGCAGCAGCAGCAGCAGCTCCCCACAGCCCGAATGCGGGTCTTGCTGGCGGGTCTGGAATTCCCAGACCTGCAAGCAGTGCGTCACAAAGGAGGACCGCAGCAGAAGTGACGGCAAGTGGCATTCCCAAACCAGGGAAGGTAGCAGCCAAGTGAAAAATAAATAGAATAAAATAAAACGAAGAAAGAAAAAAAAGCAGCAGCAGCGGAATCAGATGGGATCCTGGGCATTTTAAATGGGGATGTGAAAGGACGAGTGTGGTGGGTGAGCTGGCATGGCTGGTGGGGGCTAGAGGGAGGTGCATGGAGGGACTTACCCCTTTTTCCACCCTGCTTGCAGGGTGTTGTGGGAGAGATGGGAGGAAGGGTGGAGGAATGTGGTGAGCTGGAATGGGGAGGCATGACATGAGGGGGAAGAGCATGCCCTTGTATCCGCTGCTGATGCGCCTGAATGCTCATGCTGACTGTATTCTGTTGAGCCTGGCACTCGAGTGCCCTTGTATCCGATGTTGCACCGTGAACTAGCTAGCCTCTTGAATAGTAGTATGTCACGACCAGCCGGCACCAGGGGAAATCGCCGAGACAAATGGAGACTCCGCGAAACAAGACCCTGCACCGACTGGGAAACTCCAGCCGTACACCCCGACAAGTAAGAATATTACTTCTCGTGGGTTTCAAGCCTTTATTAAGGGAGAGTCAGAAATTAAACCGGTACCGGGTAATATGGGGACCCTACTCCGGAGCGCTAACAAGGGTCGAGCATTTCGAGGAGTTAATATTCTCTCCCAGCAGCTCTGTTTAAAGGCTCCCTGTTCCCCACAGATGAAGCCTACACAGCTGCAAAGGCCTAGGGGAAGGTTCCAGGCTCAAGAGAAGCTGTACCAGCCTCGGATAAATCCTTCTAACCCTACTCAGGTGATACCTGATATTGAAGCTGCATCTTCGAGCGCAGGACCTAGGGATGACATATTCGACGTACCCTACGATCCTATAAGCGATACCATCTACGGCTACTCGGAGCAGCAACAGCCACTAGTACTCGAGGTGATCTGCAACGGGCGACGCCTCCAGACACTGGTGGACAGTGGTGCGTCCCACTCGGTGTGCGACTGCGGGACGTTGGAGAAAATTGAAGAATCCTCAGAAGAGACCCAGTTTACAACAACGATGGTGGACGGTACGAAGCTTCCCATCCACGGCGAGTCAACACTGCAGCTGCAGATAGGAGCGTTAAGGTGGAAGCCGACGTCAACACTGCAGCTGCAGATAGGAGCGTTAAGGTGGAAGCCGACGTTGCCGATCACGAACATCAAGGGATTAGATTTCATCTTGGGGCGTGATTTTTTGAAGCGGTTCAACCCCGAGATCGACTGGGTCAACCGGAAGGCGTGTATCTACAACAACGGGAAACTTGTGGAGCTACGAAGGTGGACGGATACAGGGGATACTCCTCATCAGCAAGCCATGGAGCAGCTACAGACAGCACTGACTACAGTGCCAGTACTCATCCTACCGGATCCAGACAAAGACTACGTGGTGGAAGCAGACGCTAGTGACCAAGCAGTCGGAGCAGTACTGATGCAGAATCACGGACGCGGTTTGCAGCCCATCGCCTATCTGAGTAAGAAGCTACACGGAGCAGAACTGAACTACCCTATCCATGACAAGGAAGCCTTAGCGATAGTCACAGCCTTCAAGGCATGGAGGTGTTACCTAGAGGGAGCCAAGACTACAGTTTACACTGACCACTGCAGCCTCAAATACCTGAAGTCGCAGCCGACGCT